TATTCTTATTAAATCTCTACCCACCAACTTTAGCTTCATTAATAATTCCAGTCTGTATTTCCTACTGCTCTAATGGTTGCTAAATGGGAATTATCTATCTCTGTCATTCTGTCTACATTCATTAATTTGCAAGTAATACTGGTACTGTAAGAAAGAGCCCTCTCTCTTTCTTTATTTCCCTCTTTCTCTTTCTGATTTATTGATTCCTTTTTGGTTCAATGGGTTGTAATCTGATACTCTTATTTTATTGTGATGTTCAGATTTTCCAAGATTTGACCTCTGGGAGTCTATTTATATTGGTGTCTTTGATCTTTTGATATATTCCTATTATTCACTGAGAATTTCCTTATTTCCTAACACAACAAGATTTTTCAGGTTATTTTGCACTTTCTCTGTTTCAGCTCTGGAATCAATCATTTGTCCAAAGAGCTTGGGTTTAGTGGAGGATGGGGAGGCAGGGATTCTTCTTCCTACCAAGGAGGGTGTAAGCCACCTAAGAAATTAAAGTCTAGAATAATTAGTGAAGAACAAAAGACAAAGTCAGAATTAGGTTTAAAGGATTGGAGCACCTGATAGGTCCAGTCCACACAGGAGCTGGAGCTAGATAATTAGAAAAATGGCTCCTGTTGTTTATTTAACGGGGTACATCAAAGGCAGGGGTAAGGTTTCAAGGGTGGAGTCTTGCTTGTGATGTCTTATATAGTTAGCTGGTTGATTGTTATCTTGGCAGGTCACACCCATCTCAGAAGGGCTGTGTGCCTGGGTGGTTATAGCAGGTCATCCCATCTCTGGTGCTGTGTGGGACCTTTGGCAGAGCTCACAATGGGTCTGGGCAGTCAACCAGAGGAAATGTCCACTGGAAGTTCCCAGACACCTGTTTATTAGATTGTGATGTGTAACAGTCCACACACAGCCCATGGATGGCTCTCAACAGATGGTATTTCGTATCCAAGAACTGGGCACACAATAGTTTTTTTTKGGGGGGGGTTCTGGAGATTGAGTTTAGGGGCATTCTACCATTGAGCTACATCCCCAGTCCTATTTTGTATTTTATTTAGAAACAGGGTTGTTACTGAGTTGCTTAATGCCTTGCTTTTGCTGAGGCTGGCTTTGAACTCGTGTTTTTCCTGCCTCAGCCTCCCTAGCCGCTGGGATTACAACAAGTGTGCGCCACCATGCCTGGCCACATAAAAGTTTTTTTTTTTTTTTTTCACATAATAGTTTTATTGCTACTGAAATGTCATTGTTGGTAGAACCACTTAGTAAACAGAACTAGGAAAAATATGTATGTATATGTTAACACACATTTCCAAACATCTGTAACTACCTGTGTATGTATGTATATATTTTTAAAAGAGCTCATTTACTAATGCTTCCAATTCCAGCCCAACATCTTTTTAATATTTATTTTTTAGTTATCGGTAGACCAACATCTTTGTTGATATGTGGTGCTGAGAATCAAACCYGAGCTGCATGCATGCCAGGCGGGCACGCTACTGCTTGAGCCACATCCCCAGCCCCCAACATCTTTTTTTTTTAAAAAATATTTTCTTTTTTAGTTATAAGTGGACACAACACCTTTATTTTATTTTTATGTGGTGCTGAAGATCGAACCCAGTGCCTCATGCCTGCCAGGCAGGCACTCTATCACTGAGCCACAACCACAGCCCTTATGGTTTTTATTTTAATTGAAAATATTTTATTTAACCTACTCTATCTACAATGTTTGCATTTCAACACACATAATAAAAATAAAAACTAATAAGATATTTTACATTCTTTTTTTCTCACTAGTCTCAAAATCCAACGTGTGCTTTACAAACCCTAGAGTGTTCTTTTGTTTTTCTGCTTCGTTTTTAAAACTAATTTTTATTGGTGCATTTTAGTTATATGTAATAGTGGGATTTATTATGCAGTATTTGGCTATGCACTTAAAATAAGGTCAGTCACCTTCCCCAGTCCCTTCTCTTCCTCTCCTCTCCTCCTTCCCTCAATCTGCTTGTTTGCTGAAATGACCTATATACATATTTGTAAATAATTATTTTTTAATTGGTGCATTGTAATTTTACATAATAATGAGACTGATTATGTCATATTCATTTATGCGTATAACATAATATGATCAATTTTATTCTCCAGTACCTTCTCTTTTCCTCCTGCTTATGGTTCTTTTAATCTTTCCCTTTTCCATGTTTTTAACTCCTTTTTTAGATAGGGAGAAATCAGACTCGAGTTATTTTAGATTTAATCATTTGCTCTGCCAGTTAAATATATTGCTAAATGTACTTACTCTCCTAACTACTCAGGCTGCCTTTTCCATCTGCCACTCTGTTCTCTCTCCCTCTGATCCCATTTCATTGGTGGCTGAAACATGCTGCCACTTCCCCTTCTCCCATACAATCCCATTTCTCTGTATACCAGGTACACGGCACAAAACCCCATCACTCTCATTGTTCTATTTCCTCTAAAGCTGACTTCTCTTAATGTTAGGAGGGATAGGGACAGGAAGCGAAGGAATAATGGAAGGAATTGGTAGGAAGCCATATATGGATTTATATTTTGAATACAAGGCTGACAGAATTTGCTGGGAGATTGAATGCAAAATGTGAGAAGAAAAGTAGGTTTTTTAGCCTGAGCAACTGGGAGAATTGATTTGTCATTAACTGAGATGAAGAGAGAACTATTGTTTAATGGAGGTGATCAGGAGCTCAGTTTGGGATGTGTGAAGTTTGAGATGCCTTTCAAACACACAATAGGAGATAACAGTATTCGATGTGTACACGGTTCTTGAAGTGTGGGGAATATATATTTGGGAATGCTTGGCATATAGATGCTATTTAAAGCTATGAGAACTGAGTAGGAACCTGACCCAAAGTTGAAGGTAATAAAGGAGACAAATTCAAAATAAAGGCAGAGATGTCAAGATTTATCATGCCATTGGCATCTGCAGACTTAAAGTAAAAAGTTAGTGCTTTTAGCAAAAGCAGCTTCTCTAAGTCCCTGTGTAAGCTCAGGGACAAGTTCATGTTTGGGAGGTGATCCCATTAAGGAAGGGGAAACAAATGAGATAGGTGAAAAACAAGGCTAATGTATTTTGGGAAGCTAAGTGAAGAAATGCTTCAGTTAACGTGAAAGGATCTACTGTGTCAATTGCTGTTGATAAGTCAGGTAATTTACTATTGAATTTAACTTATGGAAGTCATTGGTGACATTTTTTTTTTTGTGTGTGTGTGTGTGTAGGGAGGAACCTGATTGGAGCAGGTTCAAAATCAAATGGGAGGAAAGAAATGAGAGACAGAGGGCATGGAGAAACTCTCAAGGAGTTTCAGCCTACCTGTATAGTCATATAGCTACAGTCACCTACTTAAGTTTTTCAGCTCTGGAGCTGAGTTTAAGGTATCTGTTTCTTAGAGTTGTATTATTATTTCGTGTACTTTGCTAATGCACACATACCTTGATAATTACACATAGTAATAACTTACTATATATACAATTTTTTAGTAGTTACTATTTATTTATTTATTTAAAAAATAAACCCACCTTTAATTTTTATGCAGGAAAAGACAGTTTTGTTCCTGATTTTGAAATAACTAGTTACTATTTTAAGTTGGTAAAATGTTTGTCATTGGCCAAGAAAGTAATAGGCTGGCAGTATAATTCATAAACATGTATAGTGAGGAAATGACCAGAGCAGTTTCAGTGGTGTAATAATAGAATATACAGGAGGACCTAGATATGTTTGTTTGCTTTTTGAGATAGGGTCCTGCTGTTACCTAGGCTCACCTTAAATTGAGGTTCTTCTGCCTCAGCCTCCCTGAGTAGCTAAGATGACAAGTATGCCCCACCATGCCCAGCTCAAATGACCTAGATTTGGAAACTTCCTCAAAGCATTTGAAATTCTGAAAGTGTTAGAGAAAACTTTACAGATTATATGTTGATCAATCATCTTGGGCCTTGACCTTTTTCTACAAAATTTTCAATCTAGTTTATTGAAGAGTTTTTTCTTTCTTCTTCTTTTTTTCCCATACTAGGGATTAAACCCAGGGGTGCTTTATCAGTGAGCTACATTTCCAGCCCTTTTTCTTTTTTATTTTGAGACAGGGTCTCCTTAAGTTGCCTAGGCTGGCCTCAAACTTGCGATCCTCCTGTCTCAGCCTTCTGAGTTGCTGTGATTACAAGGAGTGTGTCACTATGCCTGACTTGAGGAGTCTTTTCTATATTCATATTTTTCTTATAATTAAGCCTCATTAAAAAATTGGGATGTAGTTCAGATTGCTGAAATGAATCCCCCCCCCCCCCATTGAACCCCTTGGTCTGTACATGCTAGGCAAATACTCCACCACTGAGCTACCTCCTAGATCAACTTTGTGTGTGTGTGTGTGTGGGGGGGAGTATTGGGGATTGAACCCAGGAGTGCTCTACTATGGAGCTATATCCCCAGTCCTGTTTGTTTGTTTTTTGAGAGAAGTTCTTTCTAACTTGCTAAACTCTTCCGGCAGCCTCTCAAGTCAGTTGGATTACCAGTGTATACTACCACAACCAGTCCTAGACCAATTTTTATTATCTAGATAGAAAATTGCTTGTACACTTAACTGAAGGCAGAGATGGCAAACACACAATGCATGTATATTCTCCACAGTCCTCTCCAATCATCGTTGCTGATCAACCACATTATTTTTTTGTGCTGAGCCCGGAGGTATCATCACTATTTTTGTTTGTAATGTTCCAGAAAGTTACTGCCAGTTATTCCAACATGACATACAACAAAAAGCCTTTTTGAATTCCTAGTGTAAGGATTTAGTTCCTAAGATGAAAATTATATGGAAAATAATGCATATGTTGAAACTAGCTTTGAATTGTTTGTCATTCACGTGACTCAAATTTATCAATAAGAGTAGTGGCTAATGAGAAACCCTAGCAAAGCTGGAGTAACAGATACAGTGTTTATTCTCTTGTCAGATCATTAAATTAACAATTAATCTCTCTTCTTTTGTTCAAAGATTCTACCCTGTTTGCTGAACTTGGTTATTTAACAGACACTGATGATCTGCAGTTGGATGCAATAAATGAGACTTATGTAAGTGTTTGTTAGAGGAGGAATGCTGAATAATGTGATGTTTGATTTTCACCCTAATTATTGCAAGAAGGTTTCAGGATAACTGGTTTAGGCTAATAAATTAAATTTACATAATGTTCATGATCAAGTATGAAAGTAGTCATTTTGTAGTTAGTAAATAGGACAGTACAATATCATTGATGTTGGTATGGGAAGACTTGTATTCTAAGCTTGGCTTTAGGTGTGGGTAACCTTGGAAAAGTCACTTAATGGGTCACTTCTTGTTTTTAGAAATACTTTACTGCATAAGGGAATTGGTGTGATATTAAGGGGTGTAYGTGAGTCATGGACCCCGTCAAGTAGAACTTACCAACTTCTTTTTTAAAAGTTATATATTCTTACTGTAGAAAACTGAAAATTAGGTATATCCTTATTTTTTGCCTTTGATTATTTAGAAGTCTATGTAAAAGCTATGATAGTAATACCTTCAGTTCTCAAAAATTTCTTAAATTTTCTTTTTCCTCTTCTTGATGAGTATGTATGAAGTTGATTAGCCAATGAAATTTTTAACTTTGTCTTGTTCTGTATAATGGGTGAGATGCTGCTATACTTAGGAAGTAATTCAAGTGAGCACAGTAATTTATCAATCAGGTTGAGTATCATTTTATTTATTTATTTATTTGATACTGGTGATTAAACTTAGAGGTGCTTAACCAATAAGCCACATCCCCAACCCTTTTTTATTTAGAGACAAGGTATTGCTGAGTTGCTTAGGGCTTTACTAAGTTGCTGAGGCTGGCTTTGAACTCATGATCCTCCTGCCTCAGCCTCCTGAGCCACTGAKATTACAGGCATGTGCCACCATGCCTGGCTGAATATCACTATTTTTTAAGCTCTTATTAACATGAGTATAAAAATATATATGCGTACCCAGTAAATTTCAGATATATCTCAAAGAATGACTTAGAATTGTTTTACTATGAATCAATAGAAGAGAAAGAAACTCATGTTATATTTTAAAAAATCAGTGTGTGGGATTTTATTGGTTTTGTTTACTCTTTGAGATATTTTAGATTATGACCTGATGATAAAATTGACTTTTCTTATTGGCTGGTGGACTAAGCAACTCTGTTTCTTTCATAACCTCTTGTTTCTTTCATAACCTCTTGGTCCTGCCACGCATGGTGGTGTTCACCTGTAATCCCTGCTACTCAGGAGGCAGGAGGATTGCAAGTTGCAGGCCAGCCTGGGCAATTTAGGGAGACCCTGTCTCAAAATAAATGGGCTCAGTAATAGAGCACTCTTGGGTCAAATCCCTAGTACTGTAAACAAACAAACAAACCAAAAAACCCCTCTAGATCCCGTTTCTTTTAAATACTCTCAAGAAATGGTGTGTTAAGTTTGAAAATTTCTAGGAAATATGATTCTGATTTTATAACTCACATTCTATTACGTTATGGAAGTTGCTCAAAGTCAGTTCCTTTATTTTTCCATTATAACATGAAGGAATTAGATTAGATGATCTCTTAGGGTCCTGGTATCTTCCTTCTTCTACATGATGGAAGAATTTCCCTTGATAAGTCATAAGTGCTAATGTATTTTATCTCACATGAAATGGGCCTGTTACATTTCCAACCGGATAGAATTCTTTTGTTGTAGAAGGTATTTGACTTTTTGGCTGAAGACTGATAGAGTCAGACACATCTGTGAAGTCAGTTATACCAATCAATGAACATGTTTAAAAGGACTGCTAGCATGAGGGCCAGCAGCATTGTTAAGTTTACTTAGACTAAGAAAGTATAAGTATTTTTTGGATGCTACAAGTCTGCTTAATTTTTTTTTTTTAAAGCTCTGTCTCCGCCCCCTGTTTTGTTTTGGGTGGTGGTCCTGGGGATTGAACCCCAGGCCTTCTGCATGCCAGGCAAGCACTCTACCATCTGAGCTAGATTCCCAGCCTAATTTTTTTGATGTGTAAGTTCAAATAAGAGAAAAAAATGTAAGGAAATTGATTTAATCAATTTGATTGATGGTTCTTTCATGATTTAAGTGTTTTTTAAAAAATATTTATTTTTTAGTTTTAGGTGGACACAATATGTTTATTTTATTTTTATATGGTGTTGAGAATCGAACCCAGTGTCTCATGCATGCTAGGCGAGTGTTCTACCACTTAAGCCACATCCCCAGTCCCGAAGTGTTTTTTTTTTATGTGAACTTTCACATATTTTCTTTATGTACCTTGTATCAATATTTACTCAGTAAAGAGCAGTCTGATTATAAAAAAAGTTCGTATTCTCTCCTTATGTTACTTTCCCAATAAAAATAAACCATATAATAGATATTTTGAAATAATAATACTGTTTGAGAAATTATTAACAAATGGTTGTTAACAATTATTAGATGAATTTTTACTTTTCGTCTATAGCTTACTTTCTCTGTTGTAGCTGTTTTATCATCTATTGTTTGCCTTTTGACTTTATTACATTGTTTACTTTTTTTTATTGTTTGTTTTTAGTTATACCTGACAGTAGAATCCATTTTGACATAATTATAAAAAGCTTGGAATATATCTTGTTCTAATTCAGACCCCAGTACCTCTCCTTCCTCTTCCCTCTCCCAATTTCTTTCTCCCTTCTATTGATCTTTCTGCCATTTATCTATAGTTTTTTAAAAAATTAATGTGGCTGTGCATAATGGTGAGATTCACTGTGGTATATTCATATATGTACATATGGAAGTTATTCAGATTCATTTACTGTCTTTTCTTTTCCTATCCTCCTTCCTTTCCTTTTGTTCCCCTTTGACTTCTCCACTGAACTTCTGTGACCTCCACCATTTTGATGTTGTCTCTTATGCCAAACACTGTAAAATAGACTGTTTGGTACTGTCTTGATCTCAAATTCATGCGAGGATTCTGAAATCATGTCAGTTTTCATTTTTATATACACTAGAAGGTGATCAACCAGATAATCCATAAAAATCATTATTTTTAAGTAAAAAAAAATTAACACCTAAATGAAAAGAAACAAAGGGATCCCCTTTAAGAGGTTTGTTTACTCCTCTTTGAGAGTTGTATCTCCTAAGACTAAAAAATATTTTTTAATTCATAAAATTTTAGAAATTTGAAAAGCACAGAACAGTAGAAAAAGAATTACCCTGTGGTAAGTTACTCTCTTTATGATTCTTCCGTGTTTTTTTGGTATATGTGTATTCTTTCCTTTGTATATAGAGATGATATTAGGGACAAGCTCTTTGTTTGGACTTGTTTTCCTTAATGGCAATGGGAAAACCTATTTTGTTGGAGCTCCCTTATGACAAAAGACACATTTTGCGACTCTTTTAATGGTCTGTTCCCACAGAAAAGAATAAATCCAACTAAAGCTTTTGGGAATTGGTGCCTCCTTTCTAATTTACTACTGTGTTTTAAATAACTTAATTGGTTTGATTTCAAGTTGTGTTTCTTTTATTGTAATATTCTTTTACTGATTTGAAACCTACAGGAAAATAATTTTGATCATCTTGATTTTGATTTGGATTTGATGCCTTGGGAATCAGACATTTGGACCATCAACAACCAGTTCTGTACAGGTAATAATGTGCTTTGTTGATAAAAGCTTTAACTAGACCATTTATTTTATAGTTTGGTAATAATTGAAATTAGGTGGGTTACTTTGGTGGGGTAAAAGATTCCAGGGAGTATCTATTCCTACTTCTGATATGACAATGCATAAATGAATTTCTTGCCAAAATGAATATAAAGAATTTCATAATTATGTTTCAGTAGCATAATGAATAAATAATTCATATTAGAAATAGAAATATTGATTCAAATTATGAATAATAAATATCTCTATAAGAGATTAACCCATTTAGGAACAATATAGGGTTTAGGGAGTCAAAGAGAAGAAGCTGGGGTTATCAGAACCTAGGAATTTGTTGGGGGAATCTCATGTAATTGGTGTACATACCTCTAAGGAGATTGTACCACTTGGCTGATGTTAACATCTTTAAGGGAGCTCAATGAGTAGGGGTCGGTGTGCTGGAACCTGGAGCAGACTGCCACTGATGGAGTAAAGCTCACAGGAGAATAAAGAAATATTTTCTGCTACCTTCTAGCACCTATCCAGTATCCTCTGTTGACTGGAACTAAAAGGAAGCCAACTGGGAAATATATAATAATTTGCATCACAGATTATAGGAGGTAGACTCAGAGTGGAGAGACAATGGATAAATAACCAGCACATTCCTGCATCTAAATTCATCCTTAGCCCCTTACCTTTCCTATTTCCCTTCCTTTTATATATGTATTTATCTTGCTCAATGCCTGTCTTCCCATATAGAATATGGGAGACACAAAGTCAGTGTTCTGGTTGCTGTTGTATGGTGAACTTCTCTAAATCTGAGCAGTTTAAAAATACTGTTTTATTAAGTTCCCAGAGTCTATGGGTCAGGAATTTGGCTTCATATATACTAGGCAAGTACTTTACCACTGAGCTATATCCATAGTCCTTTTTAAAATTTTATTTTGAAAAAGGTCTTGCTAAATTGCTGAGGCTAGCCTCAAACTTGCCATCTACCTGTCTCAAGCTTCCAAGTAGTTGGGGTTACAGGTGTGAACCCCTGTGCTCAGCCTAGACTCTGCTTCTTGCTAGGAAAGGGACAAAATCACATTATAGACGATCATGAGGGACAGTAGATATTTTGTGGCTTTGGAAAACTCTGTCATCCCGATTCTGTGGTATCTTTGGCCCTTGGGAATACTGCTAGGCTATAGTTGCTCAGTAAATTTTTTATAAGGTAAATAAATAGTTCAAGAGATATTTTTTGTGAGTTTTAATTGTTTTGTCAAAATACTTTCTAAAATGATTCTTTCCTTTTTCTTGGGTTTAAAAAATTAGGGAAATGGATCTCATTTTTTGAACATGGTATAACATCCAAAAGATATAAAAGTTTATACAGAAGAAAAATGTCTCCTTCTGCACTTATTCCTCAACCAACCAGTTCTGCACCCCAGAAACAACAATCACTGTTATCAGTTTCTTCTTTACTCTTTAAAAGGATACAGATGCAGTGTATACATTTACATATATACAACTTATTATATGATTGGAGGCTTACTACTATCCATTTTCTGCATCTTGCATTTTCATTTAATAATATATTTTGGTGACCTTAACTTCCATATATGATTGATTTAAAAAAAATTTTTTTAATAGTCAATGGACCATTATTTTATTTATTTAAATGTGGTGCTAAGAATTGGACCCAGTGCTTCACACATGCTAGGCAAGTGCTCTACCACTGAGCCACAACCCCAGCCCCATATGATTGAATTTTGAAAGTAGATTTTACCTTTTTTTCTCATTGATTTTATTCTGAGTTTGTATTGTCCAGTGAGAAAAAAAATTCACTTCATATTTTTCAGTTAAAGATATTAAGACAGAACCTCAGCCACTTTCTCCAGCTTCGTCAAGTTGTTCAGTCTCATCTCCTCAGTCAGTGGACTCTTGTTCTTCAACTCAGCATGTTCCTGTAAGTAGCCAATCTTTTACATGATTTGGGCTATAATGTTATTTGGAAAATACATGCATCAAGTGGGAGGGGGAAGTTTAACATTTATTAAGTGCTAACGAGGAACCTTATGTTTCCTTAGGAAAGACCTTTTGGGAGCTAAAAAGTCGTTAGTCTTTATGTTCTTGCCTCCATAATTTCATTGAATTTTACCAGTATCTAGTATTTTTTTTGTTTGTTTACTTCTTTCATCCCTCTCTACTCCCTGTTAGGATATGTATTCTTTAGGATACGGAAGAATATAAGATTGTTCTTATAGGTTTTGGTTTATAGGTTCTTGGTCATAGAACCTAGAATTATCTATTTAGTTTAGGAATGCCTAACACTATCTTTTGAGTAAGCTAAGATTTTTACAAAAATCCTGTAGTTCCTATTGCTTTTGTTCTCCCTCAAGATAAAAGCCATGATGTCAAGAAAAGGAAGTACCTGATTTTGGTAATGGAAAAGAGAAAATACAAGAAGAAAAATCGAGTTAACACTTCAGTATATTTTCTTTGTTTTAAATTAAGGCATCTTTATTTTCGTAGGTTGTGTGTTTCTTCAACTACTAAAGTCTGATGATTCTATCTACCTATGACTTCAGGATTCTTTTTTGCTCCTACCAGGCCATCTTATCTAGATTAAGTCTAGACCAGGCCATCTTATCTAGATTTTAACTGGTACTCTGTCTCCCAACCTCCTGAACCTTTCTTAGCAGAGTAATAATCCTCAAAGAGAAATCCTTCAAAAGCGCAAACTTGACCATGTCATTCCTTTGCCGTAAAACCTTTTAACAGCTTCCCAACCCTTACAGGATGAAATTCAGATTCCTAGTGTGTTAGGGCCTCTATTATCTGACCCATGGTTAGCTTTCCAGTCTTCTTTCTTACTGTCTCTCCTGCTTTCACACTGATCTTTCTTAAACCCTGGAAGAGTTCCTGCCTGAAAGTGTCAGTGTGTTCCATTCATTCACCAGCTGTTCTAGGAGCTGTCTCAGACACTGACAGTGAATAAGAATAGTGAGATTTCTGCTATTCCAGTTTTAGGTTTCTGCGCATTCTTTTTCTTCTCCACAAAATAGCCCTATTTTTGTTCTTTCAGAAAAGTCATCCTTTAAGACCCACTTCAAAAATTACTTAGTGTATGAAAGTTTCCTTTGATTGCCACTATTAGAAGGAATTACTCTATGGTTCCGTAATTTCTCCAAATGATTTAATATTTAAAAAATGTAATTTGCATTTGGAGTCAGAAATATATAATATTGTATATTCATAAAAGACTGTTTGTTGGTTTTTGTCTTTTCTGTCCTTTCTTACATAACAGTTAGCATATTGTATACCCTGTTATTTGTTTTTAATTTTATTTCTGTTATATGTTTTCCTTAGGTGTACTTTAAAAAAAAAAAAACGTTTTTAGTTGTTGATGGACCTTTATTTTGTTTATTTATTTTTATGTGGTACTGAGGATCAAACCCAATGCCTCACATATGCTAGGTAAGGTAAGCGTACTACCACTGAGCTACAATTCCAGCCCTTAGGTGTACTTTTTTGATAGACAAGTTATTGATTGGCCTGTTGACTTTTCCTTTCCTTTCTATGTGATATTCCCTTTTTTTTTTTTTTTTTTTTTTTGTGAGAGTCTTTCTGTGATGCCCTGGCTGGCCTTGAACTCCTGGGTTTCAACTGATCTTCTGGCATAAACCTTGAGTAACAGACTACAGGTGCATGCCACTGGGTTTGGCCTTTATTGTCCCCCCGCCCCGTCCCAACTCAAAACAGGGTTTTCACCACTTAGGTTATATAAGAATTCACTAGTTTTTTATTCTTGTTTTCTTGCTTATATTGATTTTTTGTTTGGAATAATCTCAGATTTACAGAAATGTTGCAAGTATATTACATGATTTTTTTCACTAAACTATTTTAGAGTAAGTTGCCAGTCTGATGCCCTGTCTCCCCAAATACTTTAATGTCTCCTTCCTACAAGCCAGAATATTTTCTATATCGCAACAATGTGGCATCAAAATCAGGAAATAAACATTGATACATTACTATATAATCTTTAGCTCCTATTTAAAGTGTATCAGATGTCCCAGTGATGTCCTTTAGACCAGCAAAAGGATCCAGTTTGGAGTCATATTGGATTGTCTTGTCTCTTTAATTTCCTTCAGTCTGAAATAGTTATTCATTCTTCATTGACTTTCATGACCTTGTCACTTTTGGAGATCCGAGGCTATATATATTTTGTAGAGTACCCTCAGTTAGATTTGTTTGATATTTGCTAAGGTTGGATTCAGGTTTTGTATCCATGGCAAGAATGCTGCAGAAGTGATGCTATGTTCATTTCATTTACTTTTTGTTTTTATTGCAGTATTGGGGATTGAATCCAGAGGTGCTTTACCATTAAACTATAATCCAGGCCAGGCTTGGTGGTGCATACCTGTAATTCCAGCAGCTCAGGAGGCTGAGGCAGGAGGATCCTGAGTTCAAAGCCATCCTCAGCAATGGCAAGGCGCTAAGCAACTCAGTGAGACCCTATCTCTAAATAAGATACAAAATAGGGGGCTACGAATGTGGCTCAGTGGTTGAGTGCCCCTGAGTTCAATGCCTGGTACCAAAGAAAAAAAAAAGAAAAAAAGAAAAAAAAAATATATCTAGTGGTTTACAATGAGGCCAGCCTAGGCAACTTAGTGAGACCTTCTCTTAAGATAAAAAAAAATAAATAAAAAGGGCTGGGGATATAGCTTAGTGGTAGCATATCGGGGGTTTAAAAAAAAAAGTTTATTCTAGTATCATTTATTAAAAAGTTCTTTTTCTCACTGATTTCAATTTTATGCCCATATTTTAAATTTACATAAATGGAACTATTTAGACCTATTTCTACTATTTATTTTTAAAAATTAGCACTATGTTAATATTAATCCATATTGCTCTCTATATATCAAATCTGTTGCATCTAACTTTGCACATTTCAAGTACATGTTTACTGCATTTTACGTACATCACAATACATATTGTCACACTTGTGGGCCAGTGTGAGAATTCCTTTGGGATGTATGCCCAGGAGTAGAGTTGTTGGATGATAGGATGTATAGATATTTGACATGTGATTCCTTCCATATGGCTCTACAAGGTCATTGTAGTACTCTGCAGGCCAGTCAAGAAGTGACTAATTTTTGCCAGATGTTGAACCTTTTTTTTATTTGCATTTCTTGGATTACTGATCGTTTTCGACATTTATTTACATTCTCATTAGTGTTGGACTTCTGCTATAAATTGTTTATTCCTGTTCTTTGAAATTTTTATTTGAAAAATGTTTATTTGAAAGAATTCCATGTATATTTAATATATTAAGCTCTTATTAGGCTTAATATCTTTTTCACTTTCTATTATTTATCACCTTTGTGTCTTAAGAAATTCTTAATTTTCTTATTTTCTTTTTTTTCCCTTTTCTTTGTGATACTAGGGATTGAACCTAGGGACACTCAACCACTGAGCTCCATCCCTGGTTCTTTTTATTTTGAGACAGGGTCTTGCTAAATTGCCCAGGCTAGACTTGAATTTGTAATCCTCTTGCCTCAGCCTCTGGAGTTGCTGGGATTATAGGCCTATGCTACAGTGCATTCAGGGGCACACTCAACCATTGAGCCACATCCCCAGTCCTGTTTTGTATTTTATTTTGAGACAGGGTCTTACTGAGTTGCTTAGTGCCTTGCTAAGTTGCTGAGGCTGGCTTTGAACTTGGGATTCTTCTGCCTCAGCTTCTTGAGCCGCTGGGATTGCAGACATGTGCCACCGGGCCTAGCTTATTTCTTTAACATAAGGGGATGGCATAGACATATTCCACATTTTTTAAAAAATATTTTTTGTAGTTGTAGATGGACACAGTATCTTTATTTATTTATTTATTTGATTTTTTGTGGTGTTGAGGATCGAACCCAGGGCCTCACACATGCAAGGCAAACACTCTACCAATGAGCTACAACCCAGCCCCATACTCCACATTTTGAGTTAGTTTTCCTTTGGTATTGATTGATAATGTTGATTTATCCATAGTCACTTAGTATTTAGCCTGTAGGTTCTAGTATATAACATCTTTTTTTTTAGTCATACATGACAGCAGAATGAATTTTGACATATAATACATACATGGAATGTACATACATCAATTATATTGTCAATTCTATTCTGCTGCCCTTCCTATTTTCCTTACTCCTCCCCTCCTCTCCCATCCTTTCTCTCTATCCAATCTAATGTGGCACACTTTTTTTTTCTTTTTCTCATTACAACATCATATATGTATTCTGTGTATATAACATCTTTGCCTTGAAATTGCCTTTGAAGAATTTTTCTATTTATATATGGATGTTGCCTCTCTTATTAAGCAAATTTATGCTTAAGGATTATACTCTTCTGCATTAAATTGTTTGTTTTTATTTTGCTGCAGGAGGAGTTGGATTTGTCTTCTAGTTCCCAGATGTCTCCCCTTTCCTTTTATGGTGAAAATTGTAATAGTCCTTCCTCAGCAGAGCCACTAAGAGAAGATAAGCCCATCATTGGTCCTAAGAGCAAAACTGGTATTACTCTAACTCCTAATTTCTCTATATCTGTTTCCAACTGAGCTTAGGTTCATTTCTTTCTTTTTCTTTTTGGTACCAGGCATTGAACCCATGGGTGCTTAACCACTGAGCTGCATCCCAAGCCCCCCATTTTTTTTTATTTTGAGTCTGGAACTTGCCAAATTGTTTAGGGCCTCACAAAATTGCTGAGGCTAGCCTTGAATTTGTGGTCTTCCTGCCTCAGCCTCCCATGTTGCTGGAATTATTGGTGTATGCTACCATACTTGATATTAGTTTTAATTTCTTAAAAGAAAATGTTGGATTAAGCATGTTTATTAAACTGGCTTGTTGTTTTTAAATTATTAGATCTATATTATTTGTTATATATGGTTACTGCAGAGAGGAAAGGGAAGAAATAATCTCCTTTGATTATCTCTTTAATTTTTTAATATATTTTTTGGTACCAGGCATTGAATCCAGGGGTGCTAACCACTGAGAAACATCCCCAGCCCTTTTTCTTTTTTTTCTTTTTTTTTTTTTTTAATTTTGAAACATTTGCTTAGGGCCTTGCTAAGTTGTGGAGGCTGGCTTTGAACTTGAGGTCCTCCTGTTTCAGCCTCCAGGGGCATGCACCAGCACACCTTGATGATTATCTCTCCCTTTCTTTTTTTTTTTTCTTTGTGTGTGGGGTACTAGGGATTAAACTCAGGGGCACTTGGCCACTGAGCCACATCCCTAGCCCTATTTTGCATTTTATTTAGAAACAGGGTCTCACTGAGTTGCTTAGTGCCTTGTTTTGGTTGAGGCTGGCTTTGAACTTTCGATCTTCTTGCCTTGCCTCAGCCTCCTGAGCCACTGGGATTACAGACATGGGCCACTGCACCTGGCTGATAATATCTTTGTAGGTAAAAAAACTTTAAAATAGACTTTGACTTAATCATCTTTAGGAGAATTTTCAGTTTTGATTAAAGATAGTGAACGTGAGGGTCATTTTTCCACAACATTTATTAACTTACTCATCTCTAAGCTTTATTCAGTGATTTTAGCTATTCTCCTTTACGGTTCCTTCTCAAAACTGCAGTTTGGTCAAAAAGGAGGATCTCAGATTAAGGAATTTTCTTTGGTCCTTTCAGGTACAGGGTAGGTATGCTTAAACTCCAGTGTAAGATAGTTACTCAGAAGTCAAGATAATGTATAAAGTGTTTAAATAAAATCTATTTTCTAGGACTTGCTCAATTGCCTTAGATTGATTTGTGGTTTGTTTTTTCTCCAGAAAATGGACTGACTCCAAAGAAAAAAATTCAGATGGGTTCAAAGCCTTCAATTCAGCCCAAACCTTTATTACTTCCAGCAGCACCCAAGACTCAAACAAACTCCAGTGTTCCAGCAAAAACCATCATTATTCAGACACTACCAACACTTATGCCATTGGCAAAGCAGCAACCAATTATTAGTATACAGCCTGCACCCACTAAAGGTACTATTGTGGAAATTGAGGCTGTATATGTTTATTTGGATGATAGTATAAAGATTTTGTCACTTTTTAAATATATATATATAACTCAGGTTATAATTACTGAACATGTGTGATGTGTCAGGAATTGTCCTTGCTTCTGAGGATGTTGAAGAGATGACTAATATGTGGTTCTTGTCCTAACAGAGAGAGCTCTCCAGATCAATTATATCCAATACTTCTTTTTTCTTACAGTTTTTATTGATACCTGTTTTCAAGGCTTTTTTGTTTTTTTTCTTTTTCCTTCAGTATTAGGTTTAAACCCAGGGGTGCTTATCCCTAGCCCTTTTGATTTTATTTTGAGACAGATATTTTGCTAAGTTGCTCAGGCTGGCCTCAAATTCCCAAATCTCCTTCCTTCCTCCTAAGTAGCTGAGATAATAGTTGTTTGCATCCATGGCTGCTTAAAGTGTTTGGTTTTATATAACCACTTGAAATGTAGGAGTTAAAATAAAAGATTGCCATTTTATTCTGAAAATTTGTGGCCGTGGGTTTTTTTTTTTTTTTTTTTTTGGTTTTGTTTTGTTTTAAGGAGTGATCGGTATTTAAAGTAATATGTTCTATTTTTGGTCATATAGGTATGTTTCAGCAGTAGAGTCTGGTTCTTTATCTCCGAGGAGACTGAATGGTTTAGTAAACAGGGCATTAGGAAGAAACCTAAACTCTCTTCAACTAGCTAAGATTTGTATTTCTGTATTTTATCCACCAGATGGCCTCACATACTTGGGATTCTTCAAGAATTTTAGGTTGACACTGAAAGAAGTTCAATGAGGATTTGGTGCTACTCACATATGGGAATCACTTGCTTATGGCAATCTTTTAGGCAGCTTAGTTATATACTAATATGTATATGTATGAATATGAGAAAGTTTGTATAACATTATTTTCTCTGGATTTAACTTCTTGGCACCAAGTAGTAGTAGTAGGTATTATTGGGTATGAGTTGTAAATAAACATCAATGTAACGTTTGCCTTCATGGTTATATTTATAGTTGTTAGCTTATTTTTTTGAAGCTTAATTTTAATAAAAGCAAGGTAATACATTTGAGCTCCACTGTTAGCTTTGTTCTATTACATGGTCATAGATAATTAGACATTGATGGAAAGAAAGGAACTAAACAGAATAGATGAATTCTACCAAAAAACAAAACGAAACAAAACAAAAATAGCTGAAATGCCTGCCATCTCAGTACAGTCAAAATTTTTTAATATGACAAATTGTAATCTTGTAGAATAGATATTCTTGTGATCTATAACTGAGTGTTAATGTTCATAAACTCCTTGAAATAAAGTGAAAGATTTATTATATGCTTATAATATGGGTTTTTAAAGAGGTAGTCTCAAAAGCTTTCATTAGGATCTCAAAAGGATCTGTGTCTTTCCAAAGACTAAGAATTTTAAACTCACAAAGAACCTCATTATCATTCCTATAAGCTATTAGAGCACATCTATAAAAAGTAAAAGTCTGGCTTTAATATGACAGTGTGTAAAGAATGGGATATTCCTAAGAGTTTGTTCTTGGACCATTGAATATGTTTAAGTGATAGAAGATCTCACCTATAGCAGGAAGACAGATTGTTCTTTTCTAAACAGTTTCTTAGTTCTAGAAACTGGAATCACACATTATTTAGAATTTCAATGGTTTCCCATGATCTGAAGATTATTTTTTGTAACCATGTGTTAATATGAGGCACTGAACCTTGTTTGTTTTTGTAATACAGTATAGAGAGGTGATATTATTATTCTACAGATTAAATATATATCTTTCATTTATTTGAGAATGGGAAGGGAGGAAGAAGAAATATAGGTAAGGAATTTTATAGTTAATTGGTTTCTGCATTAGTAGAATTTTACCATTGAAAAACAAGACATAATTCCCATATGGTTAAATCCTAATTCTCTAGTGTGGAACGTAAAACCTTTCACAGTTTCTCTTCCGTTTAGTTTTCTAACTTTACATTATTAATATTATTTTTAATTTATTTATTAGTTGTAGATGGACATAATACCTTTATTTATTTATTTATTTTCATGTGGTGCTGAGGATCGAACCCAGGGCCTTGCATGTGCTAGGTGAGCACTCTACCGCTGAGCCACAACCCAGCCCCTGTAACTTTACATTATAATAGTACTTTTAAAATACTACTTTTAAAAGCCCCTTCTTGTAACTCTTATAATCAGTCACTGTCCCTTGAATTCTCTTGGTTTTCCTAGTAGTTTTTTTTTGCTCACACTATTCTATCAACCTGGTATATTTTTTTGCTTCTAAGTTCTGCACATGTCCTTTAAGACTAATTTGAGTAGTGTGGGCAAAAATATGAAAGTCTGGAATGTAATGAAAATGGACAGCCAGGGCTGGGATGTTGCTCAGTGAAAGAGCACTTCCCTAGCATTCATGTGGCCCTAGGTTCAATCCCTAGAACTGAAGTGGGGCAGGGATGACAACCAGGATGGAGAATAGATATGTTAAAAATGTAGAATTGTAGGCCTTGGTAACTGGATGGTGTGGAGGGTGGATGAAGGATAGAGAGGAAGATCTACAATGTCTTCTGTATTTCTGTCTTGGGCTTTTTGGGTAGGTGATAGTGCAAATCATTAAACAGGATGGAAGTCACATTACTTTTTTGAAGAAGAAGTGAAGCTGAAATTTGAGCCAGGTGGTTTGGCTTAGTCTGTGTAATTAATCATTATATTGCTGCTAAAAAAATGAGATATGTTCTTGTTCTCAAGAATTCCCTACCCTTGAGTAGTTAAATTTACATAAACAAGTAACAGTTACTCGGAGAACTAGTGAATTAATAATACATGCAATGTCCTTAGAGAATCTGTTATTCAAAAAAGGTGTTAGTATACATAATATTTTAAGCTTACTATGTGCCAGACACTCTTCTAAGTGCTTAAGTACATTATCTTATGTAATCCTTATATCTCTATAAGGATAGTTGAGGATAGATGTATTTCCATTTTATAGGTGAGATAACTGGCATAAATTGGTTATCCAAAGTCACACAGGTATTCTATTTTAGGCAGACTAGGTATTTGATAAATGTTTGATACATGGTTTGCAATCTGTGAAGAAAGTTGAAAAGGAAGAAGTGACTATCAAAATCAGTGAGTCATACATTGTCAGAAGTCTCCAGCATCAAATCCAGCTGCCTTTCATTAAGAGGATTTGCATGTAATGCCAAGGAGGATTTTGAGCATGCTAAAATGAATAAACAGGTTTTTGGTATGTCCTTTTTATCTGTTTCCACACCAGGAACAGTAGTAATTATGTTCCGCTGCTATTAAAATCCCCAGTCCTTTGCATTGTAGTTTGTGTTCTGGTCAGCATTTAGCAAGTCACCATGAAAATTTTTTGTTCTTGAACACATTTTAGTAGAAATTTATTTCCTTTCATTCTTTCCTGAATGGGAACATGCCTGGAATATATAGGGGATCCTTGTCCTAGTTGCTGGATAACTTGAGAATAGTTGAAACTTCTATGACTAAAGGACTTAATGTACCACATGGGAAAAAAAGGAGCTCTGGTAGAACTTGAGCCACATTTGTTGCACAGACGTTATACCTTGAGAATCCTCCATCTCTTTCTCTCCAAGTTGCAGTTCTTTCAATAAGGAGATGGTGATAACTAGACAGAAGACAGGATAAACTTGGATTATTTTTCTTAATTAATTTGTTTTGAGAGAGAGAGAGATAGAGAGAATTTAATATTTATTTTTTTAGTTTTCGGCAGACACAACATCTTTATTTGTATGTGGTGCTGAGGATCGAACCCAGCGCCGCACACATGCCAGGCGAGTGCGCTACTGCTTGAGCCACAACCCCAGCCCTCTTAATTAATTTTAAGCAATATTACAGCTGCCTGCATGCATTTTCTGCCAATCCTTTAAATCTGTAACTGRAGTTAGAAGTCTGATGATTTCTTTGAAGTAATTTAATTCTGTTTCCTTTGTCTTCTATTCTTGGGAGTAGTCCCAAAGTTTTGGGCAGGCATTTTTTTTAATCATAATTTTTAAACTAAGAGGATATGGAACATTACATCACTTCTCAAAATATTGGTTTAAGTCAGTGGTTTTCAATCTGTGAACTATAGATCCTGGAGTATGGGTCAGAAGGTTGGTAGCCTTGTGACATTTTGCAAGGCATCCTCAAATCCATATTTGTAGCAAGAATTTTCTGTAGATTTTAATTGTAATTTCTTACTAAGTATTACTAAAAACCTAATCCTTGGTCTTATGTTTAAATTTATATCTGTTTAGGGGCCATTTCCACAGTTTGTTTTTATGTCATAATAAAAATGAGTACAAGAGAAAATGAGAAGATAAAAATGTTTAGCAATTATTTAAATAAACTGTATATATTATGAATCTATAAAATTATTTTTAGATCTTTCTTCTTGCTAATTTACTAATTTATCTAGGATAAAATGCTGTTAGTTAAATTCTATTTTTTGTGTGTTTTCTAGGTCATCTGAAACAAAGACATTAATTTTATAACAGTGGTCTTTTTTAACCAAGAAAAATGTTCTAAAAAAACAGGTGTTCTAAAACATTATTTTGATTTTTAGTTTTTCCTAATCCTTTGAAATACCAAGCTGAATTTTATGAGCCATGTTAAACTGTCTGAAAAAATAATACTTTTTTTTTCCTTAAAGAAGAATTATAAATTTATATGGAAATTTAGTTGCTGGTTGCTATAGTACCTTTTTAGTTTGCTAGCTAGGCCCAAGCAGCTGTGGATATTAGGCCAGGCTTTCAGCACCTTATAAAATTGGTCAGATCTGAAAGGAAACACTTAGCAGGCAAGTAAAACTTTTAATAGATCAGTGTTATGAGTTGTATAAGTTTTCTTTAGGGTAATAATACTAGTTCTCAGGTAAGCACAAGTTTAAAATACTGATAAATGTGAAGGCTAAGAAAAGATTTGAAGGCCTTTTTTTTTTTTTTTTTGGCAGGGGTTGAAAGAGTTGGTATTATCTACAGACTTTTAAATTACAGATTTGTATTTACTGTGTTTGTTAGCTAAGAAATCATCTAAAATGGTTTTAACTTTTTTGGTATTTGTAATCCTTGTTATCCCATTTTTTCAGTAGCTTTTCAGTATTGTATATGTTTATAATCATATAATTTAAAATACATGGTTCTTTGTGTTCAATATAAAAGATTTGTTATTTATAATATGAAAAATCCTTATAGCACTAGTACACTTTAGAGGTTAATACTTAGAGAATCTCTCTATATATAAATAGTAGCAAATTTGATGTGTTTGTAGTTGAAAAGGTAAATATGAAAAATACTGTTTTTTATATTTATTTTTTTGTGATGAGGTCTCCCTGTGTTGTCCAAACTGGGCTCAAACTCCTTGGCTCAAGGGATCCTCCTGCCTTAGCTATTCAAGTGCTGGGACTACAGACGTGCATCATCATACCTGTTTTGGAAGTATATTGTTAGTGATAACTCAAAGAGGATGGTTTCATTAAAAACACAATAGCAGAATGTATGGTGCTATTGGTTATGTTTTACTTGCTGGTGTGAAATTCCTCAGTGTTGATCTTAGCTATTATGTCTGCAGAAAAGACCTAGATTTTAAACTGTTTTCCCAGCCACCATAATTGTGCACTCTCTGATTTCTTTTTTCTAACACAGGTCAGACTCTTTTGCTCTCTCAGCCTACTGTGGTACAACTTCAGGCACCTGGAGTTCTGCCCTCTGCTCAGCCTGTCCTTGCTGTGGGTGGGGGAGCCACACAGCTACCTAACCAGGTGGTGAATGTAGTTCCCGCCCCTGTGGTGAACAGCCCAGTGAATGGAAAACTTTCTGTGACTAAACCCGTCCTACAAAGTCCCGTGAAAAATGTGGTTTCAGATGTAAGTTTAAAACTTTACCCTTTTTTAATGCCTGATTTCTAAAGTCCAAAAATACCTTCTACTTTTGTTGTCTTGTTTTTCTCTTTTTAAAAGCTTGTTATATTGTGTGAAATAAAAAAAATTGCACATCTAGTGTTAGGTAGAAAATGAGGGTAAGGCTTATTATGTTTGACTCTAAATGAAAAAAAATTTTTTTTTCTTAAAATTTTTTTTTCCATGAAGGCAAATGTTAAAGACTGAGGTGATTTGATGAAAAATGAAGTATGCATACCTCCCTCTTCTTTACTACTATTTTAGAACCCTCTCATCACATTCCTCAAACCTCCTCCACCTAATCATCTATTAATATTTTACAGATTCTTTCATGTTTCCTGACTGAAATATTTTTAGCAACTTCCCAGATAAGAGTCTGTGGACAACTTTTTAAGGCAGGTTTTATATTTAGCTTCTCTAGACTTCTTGAAGGGTTTTCAGCACTGCATAATGATATTCCTACCCTTAGGAATTCTGTCTCTTGATAATTATTTGGAACTTTCCTATCTTTGCAAACCTTCAAATTTTCTAGCATGTTGTAGGGATTTGTTGTAACTTATACTTCACAGAGTTTCCTAAGATCTATTATTCTCTAAAGCCAGTTACATCACTTGCCAGCTAACTTGCTTTCTTTGAAAGTGACTAGAAATATTTTGTTATATATTCCACAGTAAGTGAATATATAACAGAATATCCAGGTCCTAAAATATAATCAAAGTTTCATAATCTAACAGTAGATTCTCTCAAATTTTGACAAGCAAAGCCTATATATTTTCTTTAAAATAAAAAATGGATATTACTAGTTGTTAATATTGCTATTTCATCCTTTCTTCTAAAGGACTTTTACAAAATATTTTATGAATCCAGTGAATATGCTGTTTTTTTTTTTATCAGACCACTCTCTGATCTGCCTATCAGAATTCATTAACCATGGTGTCAATTACCCACTTAGTTGTGAATTTGCTCTACTATTGCATAAACACAACCACGTAATCTCAAGTAGCAATATTGTAAAAACTCATAACAAAGAAATACTGTCTAGTGAGAATAGAACACCCAAGTTCTAGAAAAGGGTCCTATAGKTTGTGTAAATACTAAAAATAGTGCATGCCAAGACATGGTATAGGCAAATTACTGTCATAACAGAATAGAGAATATGAACAATATGGAATTAGAGTTGACTATTAGTTTATTTTGAGGACTAGAAAAGGTAAGCACAATGCTTACAGCTTAATAGATACTAATGTATAGGATGTGTTTCAGTTGAAGGTGGAACAGTACAAAGCAAGGTTTTATTTTAAAATATTTTGTAGGTATGTGGTAAGCACAGGATAAAGAAAGCAAGATTGGAAAAATATGATAGAAGCTGGTTGTTTTATATTTCTTTTCTTTTGGTGTATGGGAAAATTTATAAAATATTGTAAAAGAACAGTGATAAGAAAAATCCTAAAATATTCCATGGTATTTACTATCAAGAAGTTGTACAACCAATAAAAAAAGAGTATGCTTTTCAGAGAAGACTAGAGTTAAGAATGAGGAAAAAGGATATAAAAAAATTAAAAGGATCCCTTTATATTTTCTTTTAATACTCTTTAAATTATGAACTTGAATGTTTCTTATATAATATACCCAAATGAAACTTAACAATAGAAAATATTTGAAGTTAATTTATGTAATATGTTAGGACATTTAAAATATTTTTTAAAAATAATTTGCACATAAAATAAAAAATAGCATGTGTGAAGAAGCCCTGGGTTCAATTCTCAGCACTGCAAAAAAAAGAAAAGAAAAAAAAAGATAAAGACTAATCTGAACTTTTAAAATATATAAGTCAATAGTATGATATAGTTGTTAAAGTCTGTATTCATGCATTTATGACATCCCAATCTTGGACAATCAAGAGGAACATAGCTAGGAGGGGAGGGTGTCTAGAAACTGTGTTATAGGAAGAGGAGTGGTTTAAGGATTGGAATGATTCAGTAACGTGAAGAAGGCTGAAAGTAACTTGGGAGAAATCTTCCAAGAAGTGAAAGTTGTCATGTGGAGAATAAGAGAATTTTTCTAGAGGACTTATCTAGAACAAGTGCAGATAAGTTATCTGGAGTTGGAAACCAGAGGAGGTCTTTTTTTCTTCTTTTAGATTCAGTATCTAAATAATGAGCATCTGAATATTGGCAATCATCATTGTATGCTGCTGACCCATTTATAATCTGGAAACATATTTCAGTTAATTATATGTTAGTATATTAGCCAGACATATTTTATTAGTTCTTTGATGTGAAAGATCATGTCTCTTCTGCTTTTGTACTCTTAAGAAGGCTCTGAAAATTTATTGAGTAATTTGCTGTCAAAGTTGCATTGACACTGAGAAACTAGGGGATGTGTGAGATGAGAAAGTGTCACACTAATTAGTATTAGCTTGTTTTTAGCAATATTTATTGACTAGCTTTCTAATTACTTTCCAAAAATTAGAATTGACATTATTATAAAAGACTAAGGTACTCTGTGTTTAGTGCTAGAGACCAAAAGACTATCAGAATAATTTTCTAGTCAACTTACATTGAAGTTTTTGTGCTTATTTTCACTTGGCTAGTACATCAGGAAGTGAGCCAAGACTTTTCAGCAAAAGTTTTTTAGTAGAGTTTTGACTATTTATTTCAATGAAAGAAGCACCAGTCTGTCCTATCAGCTGGCCAACACATTCAGGAACTCAAAGTAAATCTCTTCCAGAAGGAGCTGCAGAAGAGAACTTTGATATGCTTATATAGTCTTCTGTAAGTTGGTTGACTTAACAGTATATGTGCTTGTTGGACTCAAGTCACATTAAATTAGGATAAATTTGAATTAGTATAAATTTCTAATTCACAAAGAAAATTTTTTTATCATATGTTTTTTTTTTTTTTGTATTTTTAAACCAAAAGTGTGGAGAAAAAGTTTTAATTCAGAAAAAAAATTATCAACCTTGTGGTTTTGTAATGGTGACATGGATACTTTTTTCCTACCTTTTAAAGTTCTTTTGTTTGGCTGGTTTTACTCTCTAGAGGCCTCCTACTGCCATAAGTAGCGTTTTTAGCATACCATATTCTGCAAACTGCATTAAGTGCCACATTTTCTGTTATGAAACAGTTTGCCTGGTTCAAATTATAATTTCACTCTTCCTGCCTTTTATTGGTAAATCTGTTTTGTTTAACAAAACCTCACCTAAGTTTTCGAGAAATATGGTTTGTTTTTGGCTCTGATCCTGATGGAAAAAATGAACGTGATCTCTCATTTCAATTTAGAAATTCTCTATGCAGTTTGTTAATAAATGGTAATCTCAGAACTACAAAGTTGACTTCATAGGAGTGCATGCTTATCTTTCTCTAAAGGGCAATTGAATGTTGCCAGATGCTGAACCAAAGGCTTGAAAACAAGCACTGTGTTTGTGTTTCAATCTGCACTGCCTTTACTAGTTCCTCCTACCCACCATAATCCCAAAAATTTATGAAATGTTACTGCCTTGGTTTGAAGATTATTGAATTACATTATTAGGATTGTTGGGACAAAGGACCAAGAAAAAATTGGTTAAATTATACGTATTCCACAGTGGGCTAAGGTGGAACAAAGACTCCTAGTGGAAATCAGGTTTGAACAATGGAAAGAAAATTATCAAGAATTAGAAATAACCTTACATGAGAAGATGATTAAGAGGTACAGACTAACAGGGTGCAGTGGCACCTGCCTATAATCCCAGTGACTTGGAAGGCTGAGGCAGGGGGTTCACAAATTTGAGGCTAGCCTTAGCAAATTGGTGAGATGCTGCCTCAACATAAAAAATTAAAATTAAAAGGGTGGAGAGTGTAGCTGAGTTGTAGAGTGCCTCTGGGTTCAACCTCTAGTACTAACCCCCGACCCTTCCCCACCAAAAACAAAAAGTACAGACTATACTGCCAGGAGGTCCTAGGTATTCCTTCTGAACATCTTCCAAACCCTATATCACTTTACATCCTCTTTCTAAACCTTTGGTTAAAGACTTTGATTCCCCTTTGTTGCCAAAAGACTGTCCTTTGGAAGTTTCTGCCTGGGGTCCCACAACCATGATGAAAAGAGAGGTGGTGGTTGGGAAATCCCTTTCCATTGGCCTTTAGGTTTAGAAATGATGTGAAGGACCATTCTCCAGACATGCCAAATTGGATCTTTTTTATTTCTTTTCTCTAGAAAGGGGGTTAAAGAGTTAAGTTTGAGATTTCAGATGTTAGTATTGTTAGCATGGGAGTAACGTGATGTGGGCCCAGGTGGATGCTCTGTATATAGCATTCCTTTTTTTTCAGGGGAAGAATGTGAACTTGAGGAATCTACCATTTTTACCGAAACAGAAAGCAAGCTTCTTCATTGTCTAAATGCAGGCTTTACCTTATTGTTTGAAGATGCTGGAAACTCTGGAAAATGGCCTGGGAAATAGTGATCAGGGCTTTGCATTCTTAGCATACTCAGTAGATGTGTGTAGGAACAACAAGAGACCCACTAGCAGTGTCTCTCAAGAAACATGAGTCTGTAATAATCTATTTGTAATGCAAAGCCACACGAAAAAATGAAGAGTGCCTGTGTTCTGTTTCAGAAAAAAGCAAGCTAAATGTCTATAGAGATTTGGCTTTGTTTTAAGAGTAAGACCCAAGAATAGGGCCTCTGTTTGAGATATGAACTGAATCTTCAGCCTTAAATTATGTGGCTGGCTTATATTTTAGAAGATAAATGATGAATAGACACTTTTTTAATAACTGAATTCTTTAACAATGAAAACATTAAATTTATAGTATTTCTTTAGGCTGCAAAGTAGATGAATCTATCAAAACCAATTCAACAAGAAAAATTTGGAGATCTAAAAACCTATCTAGAGTTTAGAAAAAATTACTTCTGTGCTGACTACTTTTATTTGCAGAGTTCCTGCTACTACCAGGGACTCTGCAAATAAAGGAAAAACATGCCTT